GGGATCAATTGGAAACAATTTAATACTTGTGACCAGAAGTTGGCATTTATAGGACTCTTTGGAAACGATTGCAATGCAATACACGTTAAACGATGGGATCGTTATATTTGTGGCAACAGTTGTGTCAAACCATCCGTTCATTTGTGACCACTTTTTGCGGAAGTGTTTAACGATTTCCGAAGTATTCTTATGCCGTAAATAAGGAGATGTTATGAGTTGTATGTCTTGCGGAGGACTTTGGATGAACTGGAAGTGAGAACTCATCAAAAGATTCAAAACTGAGATATTTTGGCCGAAACTGCAAAATATGTCTAATCTATGGCTCATATCTTCGTTGTCGATGTCTATGATGTGATTTGTGGTCAAATTGTTTACATTGATTGCTATCTCTTTGGACACAACCGAATGAATGAGTGCTGAAGACAGACATAATGTGATGATTAAGTAAAACATAATTCAGAAATAACTGCATTAAAGACATCAAGACGTTTGGCTCAATGATGTGGAGGGATCTGTTGGATCAGTTGCACCATAAGAACTGGTAACGCATCCAAACCCAGGAGACGTCAACTTATGTTTGACAACATGTGATAATCGGTGATCAGATTTGTGTAAAAATAAGTCAAACAAATGGCAACAATCAGTGAAGACATGATTCAATCGCTCAATAAATAACTCAAACTTCAAAATATGTCAAAAAGTTTTTTGTTTACAAAACAATCGTTGAGTGAAAGACATAAGACATGCGCAAAACCAACACTACTTTCATTACATAATCAACTGATTAACTGGTGGTTGGCTTTAATGGCATCAATTTGAAAGCAATTTATTATTTATTTACACAAAAAAAATTAACTAAATATACAGCGAGTGATACGATATGACCGGCCCTTCAGGTGAGCCGTCGGCACAGGTTTTAATGCAGTGAACGCTACGTTCACATCACATACTGACCACTCGAGCGCAGCGTTCACTGCATTGTAAAACTTTTGGAGACGAAGTGCAGTGTTTTTTATGACAATAATTGAAACATTAATTATTAATAATCTGATGGTTTTGAGGACATAAAAAGTATCTTAAAGGCCAGACATTCAATTCCAGCGACTCTTTTTGCGAGGCTTATCGTCGGCGCCCGTATTGGCCGTCCAACTGGTGTCAGTGGCGGCCGTGAACTGGGATTTGTATTGAGCCTGAAATGCATTTCTCATTGCATTCACTCGGTTTGGTTGCGGCGAGTCTTTCGGTGATGAGGTGTTTGCGGGCACTGAAGAGATGACACTCGAAGAATAGCTGTCGTGACTCTCGTAATTGGTGGCCGACGTCGAGGACTGAAACATTCAAAAGTTTTAATTCAAATTCAAAACCATAGAAGCAATTGCTTTATTGTATAACCTTTGCTCCCAATCCAAGTCGTGGTCTAGTTTTGAAGCCAAGACCAGCGCCGCCGACATTGAGTTTCTTCGCGCCCTTGTCTTTGAATCTCGATTTCTTATACCATTCGCTTTGCATTGCGAGAGCCAACAGATTTGGAGGCACTTCTTGATTAGCGCCCTCCAGATTCCTGACCAGATGTCCAGCAAATTCTTTGTCTTTGTCGGTAACCAATGTGTAGGCGACGCCCTTCTCGCCGGCCCGACCCGTGCGACCAATTCGGTGAGTGTGAGTGTCTATATCTCTGGCGATATCGTAGTTAATAACAGTCCTGATATGTGTGATGTCGAGTCCACGCGCGGCCACATCTGTCGCCACAAGAATTGGGAACTCTTTGCGTTTGAATTCAGTCATCACTTTATTCCTCTCGTTCTGATTCATGTCGCCATGAATTAGAGACAAATTCATGTCATGAGTCTTTAGGTTTATCGCCAATTCCTCTGCGTTTGCTTTTTTGGTCACAAAAATCAAAACACTTCCGCTTGAAGTGAACTCAACAATCTTAGTCGTAAGCCATTCCCACTTTTTAGGCCCGGATTCTAAGACCAACACCACTTGCATAATGTCTTCATTCGCTTCGCCCACCTCTCCCTGTACTATACGAATCGGATCCAAGAGTACATCTCTGGCCAACTTCTCGACCTTTTTCTTAAAGGTTGCGCTAAACATAAGTGCTTTAAAAATGGGATATTAATCACTGGAAATTCAATTCAAAACATATGGCATACTTTGTCGATCGGGTCGGACGTGATTGCAAATAGACCTGACCTGAGGCTCAAATCCCATGTCAAACATGCGGTCCGCCTCATCCAACACTAGGAACGTCACCCGCAATAGGTTTGTGGCTTTCATTTTAATCAAATCGATAATTCGGCCCTAAATTCAATACCAAATCATAAGTGAATACAACAATCAATACATTATAATATATTCATGTCGTACGGGAGTCGCGACCACTATTTCTGCGCCCGACTCGAGATCCTTTGACTGTTCAAATTTGTTGCCTCCGCCGTAAGCGCACACTATATTAATGCCGTAAACTTTGCCAAATCTCTTCGCTTCGGTGTATATCTGTTGGGCTAACTCTCGAGTGGGCGCTAAAATCAGACCAATGGGTCCGTCGCCTGTCTTTAGCTCCGGCTGATCCATAATATGGACCAAAAGAGGCCAAATAAATGCCGCCGTTTTTCCGGACCCAGTCTTTGCTATACCGATGATATCACGACCGCTGAGGGCTGTGGGGACGGCCTGTGCCTGAATGGGCGTCGGCTGGAAGTACTCTAATTTGCGGATACTTTTCATGAGTTGGTCGTCAAACCCGAAGTGTGCAAAACTGGTCACCGGTTTCGACGGCAAAAGACCGGAGACTTTAATTCCCAATTTGTGTCGCAATTGATTGCAATCGTTTGTCGACAACTCTTTGATGTCTTCGGGTTCGGCATAAAAGTTCTTTTCGAAAGACTCGTAAGTGATCTGCGAGTGATATACGGGTGGCAACGGATCAATCATTTTTGAATTGTGGTCTCCTATGGGGTGTCCGTCCGCGTCATACTCCGTGTCGTCCAACTCGTCGTCACTGTTGGCCGCAAGAGTGCCGACGCCTGCCATTGGGTTCTCTTCCATATATCGATAATACGATTCTTCCGCGTCTTCTCTTTCGATGTCATCTCTAATGCCTTTAGTGTCCGAACTTTTGGTTGCTTTCGGACCGACACTACTCTTCATAGGTATCGGTGTCTCGCGTTTGGCAGCAATGGATGGCTTTGTCTTTGTTTTGTCGGGTTTTGTCTGCTTCTCGAGGTCTGCCATAAAGGCGTCCAACGGGTCGTCTTCCGAGTCGTCCTCATTATCGTCGACGCGAGCGCTGGTCTGCGCCGAAGGACTGCCGGGTTTTGGTATGTAATCGGGCTGTTGCTGGTCCTCCTCGTCGTCGTCGAAGTAGTCGTCATCTGTTCTCACTCTTTGTCTTCGGTTCACATAATTGAAATCAAAAGTCTTGCCATCCGTTGATATCTCCGTCGATTTAGAGTAAGACTGCCTTTTGTTGAGGTTTTCTGGCGGAGGAACTGATCGGAAGTCCTTATTATTGGACGAATTACTCATATAATCCATCGACGGATCAATTGATAAGCGGATCAGTTGGACATCAATTCATACAAATGTTTGCTTTCATTGAAAACATGTTTTTATTATTGTTTTCAACAAAAGGCCATAAATTGTGTTCAAATAACTCATTCACTTTAGACTCCCTTTGGCTTCAAATGCAATGCTTTTATAAAATGACATTTTCTTATCATTTATGGAAATAAAGTGCAAATTATTTGTGAAATTTTAATAAACACTTTGAATGCAAACAGTTTTTGGTCGAAATATTTGCCACAAGTTTTGAGTGTTTGCGTAAAATGTGTGAAAAAATGTTTCAATTTTTATTTGGTTACCAAAACGTGTCAAATATTGTCATTAATTGTCTGACATTTGATTATTTGTTATTGAATTGAATTAATTGCTAAATATTTGATTGAATTGAGTGTCAAATGGATTATTACGAGGAATACAGCGATTATACGCAAGACTTCACTCAATCTGATTGTAAGCAATGGTTTGATTATTTGCTTTCATTTTAAACTTTTAAACTAATTGTTCAAAAGATTAGATGAAATGATAGTGTTTTTGGTTTTGCTTTATTGGCCACACTTTACGGCACAACATCTCTAATGCCTTTTATTATAAAATGATTAAAATTGAAAACTTTTTAATTTTTGTCAACTTTTTATTAGAACTTTGATTTGAGATCAAGTGTTGGATTAACTAAATATACAATAAATGTGTTATAAATTAATTGCAATAATTATATAATTGTTTTAGACGTCGACTACGAGAGTGAAGACAATTACGATTTGATGAAAGACTGCATTTATCCGACACTTTCT